AGCATTCACTCCCAGGTCAAAGGAGTCTGCAGTAGATAATGGTTTTTACCAGCTCTGATCGGCAGTGATGGAATCATGACATCCAGGTTTTCAGTGCGTTAGTGACGCGTTCTACAATAAACACCAGCAGTGTTACCTTATTTAGTAAAAAAGTAAGTAAAAACTAAACAAAATAAGAATAAATAAATAAACCTTGCTTAAATGTAATCATTCAAGGGCAGACATCTGTTGCCCTGGGCTCGCTTGTGCCCTTGAAATGTTCCGTCCTTGCAGAAATGTTATTCAGGAAATTTTTTTTTGCATGTTGAATATTCTACTCATGCTAGGACCGGTCACAAGAAATCTAAATCTAAATGTTTTCCTAAGGATCAACCAATGAAGCAAGAAGCCTGACAGCACAGTGAAATGCATTATGAAGCACAACTAGAGGCTCTTCAGGGTTTAGAAGGTGGAACAATTTGCAGGTGGGCTGCTTTTACTGACATGAGAATAGTGAATATTTCTACTGACAGAAAACACAAACATCTATGGGAGTCTACAGTACATTCTTTTTGCATGCATATTCAAACCATATATGTTATGGTGAAATAAAGACAGGCAGAGAGGCAGGAGAGGGAGGGGAGATGGAGCAGGATATCAGTGAACAGTGTTTTCATTGGAACCCTGGGGATGTATGTAATGAGTTGGAGAGAGGAATGTTTGCCTAGTCTGGTTTACACAGAGAAATGACCCTGTGATACACAGTGTGGGGCCCTCTTACTGCACGCACGCACGCACACGCACACACGCACACACACGGGCACACACACCTGACCTGAGCAGCGGTGTTGAAAAAGGGAGCAGGAAACATTTGCCGGTGTATTCAACAAACAATTTCCAGTGTAAAGTCACTGTATCATGTAAGTGAAGTTGTTTAAACGGTGGTGTTGTATTGATGTGGACATTATGCATCATTCTGAAACAAGTCTCACAGGAAGAGCAACACAAAGTCTTCCTTCAAAGGCAAAACGCGTGGACTTCACACTAAATATTTAACAGGAAAATAAATCCTGATGCCAACCATCGCTGTTATGTACAACCTATGCAACTGCGGATTATATCATTTCCCTTCTTTTGTCTCTTTCTGCTGCTTCAAAGGAATTCAAGTAGAAGCTTCCAAATTGTCCCAGTTTACAACAGGGAGCCTGTCATGACAGTGCCTTGCAGCAACGATCTCATTTTAATAAAGGAACACAGAATAAAACTACTATAACTGGATCGTCACCAACAGTTTTCACATGAAGCATGCTAATGTTCTGACGAAACTCATTTGAATTTGTAGTTTTGGCAGAAGAAATTATCATAAATGACTTTATTGACAAGGAACAGACAATGTATTTGTGAACAATAGGTTGTTGGGCATCTGAATGAAATAAATTATATTAAAGTTATATATAATTATATAAATTAAAGTGCTGATCCACCTCTTAAAGTCAACAATAAGAATTGTAGAGTTTAGTGACCTGTTGATGCTAAAGGAGGACAAGTCAATGGATCACAGAGGGTTCGGCAATTCATCCAACGAGGCTTACGAATGTACCGGATTTCATGGCAATCCTGTCAATGTTTGTCGAGAGATTTCACTCACAGCCATCTGCCAATCTCCAACTTGCAATAGAGGAAAAGCCAAGGGTTCTTCACCAACATCTTGAGTGTGATGCCTTGTGATAACGTCATGCCAGCATTTGGTATCACATCAGTGAGAGCAGCCACAAGTGAAGCTGGCTTAAGAGTCATTATACAGGCTTCACCGTTTCATGGCTGACGAATCAGAAATAATTTAATGACGCAGCTATTGAGACAATGTTAATGCAGTCAAATGTGAAGTAAAGGAAAATGCCATTTCTGCATTGCTTAGAACATCTTTAATAAGACATTTATAACCTCAAATGTATTTATTGCCATCAGAAAAGTATTGGTCCGGAATAAAAGATGCACCAAGATTTCTCTATGACTGAAATCTAGCAACTTGTGTCTGCGTTTGGATTCCTCTTCTTCTAACAGCAAATTCTTTGACATTCTCTCCCCTCACAACCGTATCTCAGGGGTATCATCTTTTGATATATCTTTTTGAATATTGTAATAGCACTTCCATGTCAAAACATGTGACACTGTACCCTATATACATGAAGAAGAGGACCAAAGAGTTGGTGAACTGGAGATTTAAAAAGCAAGCAGACATAATGAGGAGAATGTGATGTAGTGGGTTGTAGTAAGGAGGATATGGAAAGATAAAACAGGATGAGGAAAAAAAAAAACATATTCGGCAGCATCAAGAGCCCTGCATGCATAGTGGCTCTGATGAATCAGCTCATTAGTATGACTCTCAGGGCAGATCACACCATTAATAAAATATGGCTGTGATGGAGGCCATGACAGAGAGGGAGGGCCGCGGCGATGTTGCCTCAGAGAGCGGAGCCCTGTCACTTGCGGGAGCCTCAACAGAGAGGACGTACACGGTACATCCATGAAAAAAGATAATGACATCATTTGCAGGAACCACACTTCAGGACTCTGGAATAAGTTATCATCACTCAGCCTTCTTATGTTAGACTAAAGCCTAGTTTATGCTTCTGCGTCACGTCGACGCCGTACCTACGCCGTCAGTCGTTGAGCATTCGAAGTTCTGCGTCGAGGGAACGCGTTGCTCTGCAATTCACCGCCATGCCGCTAGGGGGTGTAGCGGTGTGTTTGTGTGGTTATACCGAATCTTCGCTTTTTCTTCCGTAAAGTAAACAACAGTAAACAATGGCGACCGAGGTGGAGCAGCTGTTTTTGTTGTTGGAGCTCATCAATATTGAAGAACAAATGCTTATATTGCAAATGTTGAAGCGCAAGCTACAAAGAAAACGTTTGCGGAGCTGGTTTTGACGACGAGGAAGAAAGACCGGAAAAGCAACTGCCAGAACTTACGTTCTGAGCGGACCAATCACAGCGCTTACGGTCTCCGTCGACGTCCGCGTAGTTAGGATTTTTGGGAGGCGCACGTCAGGCTACGGCGTAGGGGTCTGACGCAGAAGCATAAACTAGGCTTAAGTGTCCCAATTTACCTTGTTGCCATGATTCCAATAAGTGTTTGTGTGTGCATGAAGCCACGTGTGGGCATCTTATTGACCGCGTCTCCTGACAGCTATTTGTGTCCACACGAGAGCTGCAGCCAATTATCTACAACGCTAAACAATACGCACACGAGACTCACAGTAACAGTAGTAAATAATGCATCATATCTACCCTTTATGAATTATACATCTCCCCATGTTGACAACTGTTCACAGTGGGCATGTACAGTATTAATTCATGTGTGTGTAGCCAGTCTCCATCTTTCTTCGCACAAAGTAATTTGTGTGATTAATTCCATACCCTGTCAATATTTGTGTTTCACAGCATGGGGAGTTTGTCAGCATGGCAAGAATTAATGTATGCTTTGATTGCCTTTGGTTTATTTAAAAAAACAAAACAAGTATTTTCTATGGAAGGACTGGGTAACTGTGTCTCAAAGTTTAATTGATGGTTTAATATTTTCCCACGGAAGCCGACTAGAGCGTGGCCTGCCTCTGATTTAGCCAAAAGTGGTCACAAAAATATTTGTCTAAGATATTAAATCTGGTGCTGCAGTGATTGCGGAGTCATTTTCATGCTGCTTTTCTTGGCTTTTTAGTCCACGACTCTCTCACTGTGTTGTTCTTATGCTTTTACCCACACTGTATCATTGACATTTTAACAGACACAATTAAATCACATTATATATACAGGGGTATGTGATCAGGCCCTGCAGCTGGCATCTTTTATCATTCACTAAACACATGGATAAAAATGTTTTTGAGGCATATTAAAGATATGAGCGTTGTTAGAGTCAGAGAGATGTTGATTTATCTCTGGTGACTTGATAGAGGAGGAAAAAGAAACCATTACTAGGTGAAAGTGCCAACTGTTAATATTAAAACTAATCATAATGCACTCCTACATCCGTGATCCTGTAACACCGAGTTCCCTGCACTCGACACACAGGCTTTGAATTATTTACTACACTTCTCCACAGAGGGTAGTGTGCGGCGGCACTGTCTGCTGCTGAATCTTACACACACACACATATACATAGACAAACATGCGCACGCACGCACGCACGCACGCACGCACGCACGCACACACACACACACACACACACACACACACACACACACACACACACACANGAGCCCAGCTGGGGTTAGGGGAGTAGAGAGGAGAAGCCTCCACCCCGGGCGACACTCCGGGCTCTCGCTGTTGTTTTCTGGCGACTTGAAACACTTCACTGCTAAATAATGAATTTCTAACAGGCAGCACCGACACCCAGTATTGGAACAGGTTTGAATCTGAGCATCAAACATCACCACCACCGAACACACCCTACATACTGAACCACACACACACACACACACACACACACACACACACACACACACTTTACACTTTACTTAACTGCAGTCCTTGTCTCTGGCTATCAACTTTCTGCTGAAGACTAACAATTTTTTTTTTTTTTTGTCAATTCACTTTGCCTTAATTTGTTGAAATGTGCACGGTGGCCAAGATGTCTCACGGAAGCACATTTACATAAAACACAAATTTTAAGGTCACAACACAACTACAGGTAAACACAATCGCAATGGAAGCGAACCACAATGGATGTTGACAATGAAACGAGCAGAGTTCTAGACTTTGGTCACGTGAGTTGTCCAGTGAGGATGAAGTCAACATTTTTTGGTTTCCAAAACTACCAAGACTGAAGACTGACTTTTCTGGGTCTCTGCGAACAACAGCTCACTTTACCACGGAAAGAAACCCCGCCCATTTCATTGTCAACAACTGTCAATCACCTCAGTCACTGACTTGTCCTCAAATAAAACGACCAGTCGCTTAGGAAATAAATAAAACAACAACAAGCGTACAGCGCGTGAAACGACTAAAGGAGCTACATTCCTTACCTTGGCAATCTGGACACACCAATTGAGCAGCAGCTGGGATCCGATGTGGTCCTTGTGCTCGAGGACGTAGTCGAGCAGGCACCCGTGAGGCATCAGTTGCGTGACCAGCTGGATGGTGGGACTCAGGCAGACGCCCAGCAGGCGGACCAGGTGGGGGTGCTCCATGCTGGCCATGATCAGGGCCTCCTGAAGGAGACACATACACACTCAGGCATGTGGGGTGGGAAAGGGGTGGTGGAAGTTGATTTTTGCAACAGTATGTCAACAGATCCTGCAATCTTTATTTACTATAGTCTTCAGCCAACTGTGTTAGGAAAACATGAATTACATCACTGACGTGTTGTTTTTCTGATCTTGAGTGTTCATGTAGAACTGAGCTTGAAATTCGCCTTTGAAGCTGCAGTGCTCTGTCGTGAGATTTCAGAGAATTTCCCAATTATTTTTGATTGAACTGCACATGAAGACTTAATATCCTCTTATTGCATGTCTCCATTAACAGACAGCACAATTTACCAGAAAATCTAACTAATAGATTTACAGTTTCAATGGTTTGGGGAGCATTTATTAACTGAGCAGGTTTAGTAAGTGACTATTATAAAGAAGGAAATCACAACTCTTTGGTTTCACATATTAGCCATTGTATTTCCTTTATTTCCTTTTTCATTATTTGTTTTTTGACTTTTTATGTTTAGGGATATGCCGCTGTGTTCTCTTATGTGAATTGTGATTTTAAAATTGTTGTGTTTTAAAATATGCCGCTGTGTTTTCTTATATGCGATTAATTTATTGTTGTGGTTTGTGGTTCGCCCACTTGTGTTTTCTTCTTTTTATTGTGCTTTTTTTGTTTGCCTTTGTTTTTTTATCCTCCATAGAAATTGCAGACACAAAAAGTCAAATAAAGTTTATATTTAAAATCTACTGTAAGACACTTGTCTAACTTGGTTTGTCTTGATCAGAATAGAACATTTATTGATTCATATAATTTCCTCTGTTAAATACATTAACTCAAAATTAGTTTTACTTGGGTTATATTATATTAAGTGCTAAATTCATAAGTTCTCACATTGAACCCAAACAGGTCATGCCTGAGAAATGGTTCCAAGACTCAACACACTGGCAGAGAGTCCATCATGTTTACAAGTGTAGACTGAACTGTCGAAGATCACAGGAGCCGTTATTCTGTTTCAGGCAGAAGTTTCTCTTGAAGTTAGCAGCAAGGTTCCACTACGTCAGAAACAGTAGATTTCTATTCAAAAAACCTGCACATCAAAGTGACTCGCTGCTTCACAAGGCTGTCAGCACTCTTTGTAGTAAATACAAATGTAGTAAATACATCAAGGGGAGATTGTTGTAAATCAAGTGTCTGTGTCCTTTATTTTTTACCACAAAATACAGTAAGAATTGTTTATTTTTCAGTTGTTTAGTTTGGAATGTTTTTGTGGTAGAAGCTGCAATTGAATAGAACATATGTACATATGAAAAAGCTGCTCCAGTACATTATTTATCAGGCTTTGAACTCGCTTGTGGTGTCAACACCTTTTACGTACGGGGACTTCTAGAGCAGGAGCACACAGAATATATTAGTTTGCAATAAGGAATACGATGGCAGCAAAGCTACCAAAGAGAGAAATAGAGCCTCATTTACTCTGTGCAACTAAGCACCACCCCACACACATGAACACACACGGACACACACGGACACACATGAACACACGCGCACACACACATGAACACACACGCACACACACACTCAAAGCATTATTTCTACAAGGGTTATGGGTTAATGTGACAATCCATCATGAGATGGATAACACAGGTGGAGGCGGTTGTGTGTGAGTGTGTTGCAGAGAGGCAGAAATAGTCTCTCTGCAACACACTTAAACAAAACCGCCTCTGATGAACATTGAGAGAGAGATACTATCACAACACAGTGTAAACTTTATGGTATCCCTGCTCCTCTGGTGATGGCAGCAGATACAGTGAATCGCGCCAAAGTCTTCGAGAGACTCCTGTTCGACTCCAGAGGCCATCAGGGACATTATCCAGAATCACACATGTGAAGACAAAGTCATTCACGTACTATAATGAATACTTCACACATGTAGAGGGACAATAATTTAATTGGCCAAAAAATGTCTATTCTGGCTTCACAAAAACACTAGTTTTTCCCTAAATGAGCATTTCTTATTTTACAAGAAATTCTGCAGTAATTTGAGTTTAAAAGTTAATATAATTATTACATTTCAAGGTTAATCACTAATTATGTTAAGCATGGAAATGATTGTCCAACTGTATTCAAAACACATTAAATAAAATGGACTTGAAGTTATTTTTACCAATAGACACAAAATGTGAAGGGGATGAATTGTTTCCTAAAGAGAATATTGTGTTGGTATTGATTTTTGTTAAGCACTCTGTTGCTTTGTGGATTATAAATTAAGTTTATTATTACTTATGAAATGTGTTGAATGTGAGTTTCATTTGTGGGCAACAGAACAAAAAGAGTTTCTGGAGACGTAACATATTGTACTGTGTTTGTCTTAAGCCAAAAACATGTACACACACTGACACAGTCTTGGTTTTGATACCCTGGTTTTTCACTGGGATATTAGGGAGCATTGTGTCAGTCCTCAGATATTATTCAAAGAGGAAAGTCAGTAAGGACTACAGATGTTTCCTGGTGAAGATGCTGAGCCCACAGCTGCTCAGAAAACAATACAAGAAGATTGTGGATTGGATGAGTGCGTAAGAGATTGCACTTGAAAATTAGATGGAGATAATTTTACTAAAATACTAAAATAAAATAAACCAACAATTAACAAACTAGCTATGTATTTGTTTTTAGCACATTTATCATTTGCTTGACTTTTTCTGTGCGTTCTGGCTCAGCCAATCACAGAATATCCTGCTGCCTTCTTTTAGAGAGGTGGAGTCGACAGTTACACGCATTTAAAAGTCAGATAAAATAGAAATTGCCATTCACATGCAGACATCTATTCCACTCAATAGCCTGCGTAAAAGTTCCTCTTTCTCCAACAGCCACTGTATCTCTGTCTATATATATAGTCTATAGTTAAGTCCTATATCTCCCTCTTTTGTCTCTTTTTAGGATATTGTGTTTTTTTAATGGCTGATATCTGCTTCTCTGATTGTCACGCAGGCTCCAAAAGCCCATACTGTAGAACATAAGTTTAAACACACACAGAGGATATTCATCAAAGACGTCTTGATAAAAATAGAAACTCTAACACCCCAAAATCTCCTCCTCTCAGACTGTCAGACTGAGTGCAATCGGGTCGCTTTCTACGTGTGTGTCTGTGTGTGCATGTGCACGTGTGTTGAAGGATGTTATTTCATCTGCATTGCATCATCGCAGAGTAATAATTTAGATTTTTTTTTTTTTTTTCCACTTTTGCTTTTGAAATGAGCCGAGTTGTGAAAGTTCAATAAACGGTGGTCCTGTGCACTGTGCCGGGAGCCTGTGGCGTTGTGTGTGTGTACCCAAGAGCATGTAGGGGTCCTAGAGGCCCCAGACGATTTTGTATTATGGAGTCCGTAGGGCGTAAGCTTAGTTCTTAATGCTTCATTTCCCCAACAGAGCCAATGTGCGAGTTGTGCTTTCTTTTAAAATCACTGAGGAGTGGGATCGGTATTTTGGTTTTAAATCCACTCTCGGCAAAAAACAATAAGTCATGGTGACAACAGGGCTCTGATACAGTAGGTTTATGTTTGTAGTAGTTCAGCACATAATATCATCACAAAGTTTGCTGGACTGAAACAGTTTCACTAAAAAAGAACCTAAAAACTAAATCATTTTTCTAAACCTCAATTGTTAAATTCCACCTCACATTGTTTATTAAAGGTGTAAAGCCAAAGCTCACTTTTATGTGATCACACTGTTCGCTACTCACACCCCCCTCAAGATACTCACATCCATGAACTCCACGTTAGCCTTGGGTCCGGTGGCCTCATTCAGGATTTTTATGGCCACTGGAATCTTCACCGTTTCACCCTCAGGAACCCAAATACCCTAAAGAAACACAAACACATGATGAGTCAGTTTGCAAAGTCACAAAATTACATTTTATCAAAAGAAAGGTGTTGCAGACTTTGAAAGGATGAATCTCACAAAGAGGATGAGAATGTACGACATGCTGTATAATTAAAGGTTATTTCGTCCTTGTGTGAAGACATGTGGAGCTATTTAATTACTTTGAAGTGTCTAATTTCAAATGGGATTAGACTGATTTAGCAGCTGCGAATGTGGTCAAAGCAAAGAGTAGCAAAAAAAACATTGGGCAAATGTTTTAAACATGTTCCACATCATGTGACGACACATCGCCAGTGACAGCGCGTCCACCTCCACCCACAGTTAAAACGCCTGCTCTCACAAAGCTGTAATTTCCATGTCATACCTCTTCTTGAATGTCTTTCTACCTGCACTTCTGTCAATAATTATAATGCAGCACAATGACTCACCATTATGTTTCTCATTTTACCTACACTCACGGTAGAATTATATATTTATTTTATATTGCATACTGTGCAGTGTAGACATGCTCTATGTAAAATGTGCCCTGGAACAACTTCTGCATTTTGTGCTACATGAAATAAAACTGGACTTGACTCATGGCCAAAATAGCTGTTTAAGCATATAAATAATGCCTTGCACATTGTTGTTTGCTATAGTTGGTGCAAAATACACCTCACGACTATTTCCTACCATTTCTAACATCACAGTTGAATAGGGTGCTATAAAACAAGGTGGCATAGTGCTGCTGACAGCCCCATAAGGAGAGTAGACAGATATATGTATGATTGTCAGTTTAAGGGTTCTGAAGTAATAACAACTGCCAACAACTCATCATGTGGCCTTGGTTGTTGAAAGTGACCAGTGAACTGCTGAGTCCCTCTGTATGCTCAGTTTCCAGTACACTGTGCTATTCAGAGAGCTTTTAAATCTGATCCGACAATCAGTTGTATTTGGATAAAATGAATACAGGTAGTTACAAGTAAGTGAAAATAAATGAGTTTTATAGTGAGAAAACTCAAATAGCACAGACTGTACCAAAATGGCAATTTGGAGGTGACACCTATACACATCTCTACTAAAATCTCTATAACTTTGCTCCGCTTCACTTGATTAATGATAATAACTTTTGGCACAGATAGTGTGCAGATGTTTTGCTGTGGTTTTGGGATCTGCACGATTTCATAGGAGATATTTACTTAGAAACAGCAAAAACTACAGGTGTTTCACTTGTGATCGTGTGTTTACGTGTGCGTCTTCTTGCTTGCGTAATTGTAAAACACATAATACAAGAAACACAGGGCGTCGCTCATCAAAACATTGCACCACTGGTGGTTCAAAACTCTACAGGGGACCTTTAAGTGTGACGCCTTATGTAATGGGAACGTGTTTTGGTTAAAAAAAAGAGCTCAGCTGCACAGAAAAAACTTCACACGTCAATCTGAATACTGAAGCTCATTAGCCACGACCTCTGGATTGTGCCTGAATTAATAAGATCATGCAGTGAAGCTGCTGAAGTGAGTTTTCTCAGGTTTTCTCAGTGTCACACAACTGCTCCTCGACTCTGAGAGGATCCAGGGGAGATTTATTGACTTGAAGGCTATGTGACCACCAGGGAAACTTCTGTATGGATGCTTGGGTGCACCCATGAGACTGTGAATGGACTATTTTTCTTTACATGCCAAGAGGTTGGAGATTCCCAGAGGTAACATGCAACAAAAAGGACATCTGCGCTCATGCCATACCTCTGACCCAGAAATGTGCTATAATGTGAATGGATGGATCCAAAGATGATGTCAGGACGAGAGAGTCTTTTCTTTCTCATTTGACGTTTCTCTCTACCTCTCCACAACCCCTCATCACACTGGGGGTGACCTCGGCTACCTAATATTCAGTATCACCCCCAGGGGTCTCAGTGTCTGCTATATTACTTATTCTTTTCATCCCCTCAAGCCTTACATCTAATTTACTGTCATTATCTGTCTTGTGATCCGTCTCTCTGCAAGATCTTACAAGACCTTGCATGAGGACCTCAGGTTTCAGAGTAAATGATCAAACATCTGTTAATTTGGCAACATTTCAAGTTAAACAAACGATCAAGCAAACACATAGTTTTTCATTTTTTGAGTGTTTTACCTTGTAAACAGTCCCGAAGGCCCCAGAGCCGAGAATCTTGACCTTTTTGAGTTCTGTCTCTTTCAGGATTCGTAGCTGGGCCTGGTTGGGTGCAGTTCCACTTGGTGTTAAAGGTTCCACCAGCTAAAAACAAACAAAAAGACAGAGGAGATTCAATTAGAAGTGACTGTAACACAAACTGGATTTCTAGTTTGCAATGGAATAGAAACACCCCCCCCACCATTGACACCACTAGAGGGGGGATACTGTTTTCAAATATATATGTATGTCATGATGTAGAGACAGCCCAGATGATTGACTCTACGTAAGCATTGAACCTGCAAGGTCTAAAACAGTGAGGAGTGGTTAAAATTTGTCTTAGGCAGTTATATGCAATTTAGCTTTGAGAGAATCATAGGAACACAACTCACGTGTCATGTTACCAAGGTGAAGTTAACCTGATCCTACCTTAACTAAGTAAAATAACCTATTACATCGACTGTTTTTCTTCTAATATTTATCATTTTTACAAGACTGTTCCTAGAATCAATGGAAAACAAGCTGTTTCTAAATACAAATTGTGACCTTATTTCCAAGAACTCATGCTGTGAAACTCAGCTTTAATCATAGGAAACAACAATTACCACCGAGTTGCTTAAGGTTATGACTGAAAAAGAGGTGCTGCTTTCAATTACATTTTTCCATCAAGACAAATGTGAACTCTGAAGTGCCAATACCTTTTCAGGATAACGAGTGAGCAGCTTTAATATGTGTGCACAGGAGAGCAATGGCGAGAGGTGGATGGAGAGTAGAGAGAAAGAGGTGTGGGATGTGGATAATTGTGAAGCCTGAAAAGATTTGACACTTTGTTGTCTCATTACCGCTCGAGTGGAGGAACGGACAAATGAAATACCTATCGGGAAGTAAAAATTGTATATGTGGAGGGAAAGAGGGAGGGAGGACTACGTGGAGTGGGAGAGGGACTGTGGCGGGAACAACAACAACAAGAGAGCGATGGAGAAGTGAGCAGCTGAATTAGTTAGAGAATGCAAAAGCATGAGAGAGGGAGCAATGTGAGGAGAATTAGGAAAAGAGAGGATGATTAGAGAGGGAGGGCAGAGAGAGAGAGGAAAACAGGGAGACAGAGTGTAAATCAGTCTGGCTGTGGTCGGCAGCTTCTGTCCCTCTGGCTGAGCCAATGATTAAAAAACAATAGTCAGTCTTCGAATTTTTAAATGGAAAAAAACAAATCAGCTTCTGCAGGATGGAAACAAGAAGGGTGTGTGTGGGGGGAAATAAACAAACACACACAAGACAATACAGATGTTTTACCCATTTAAATTACCCATCTACAAACAGTACATTACACACACACACACACACACACACACACACACACACACACGCTACGATATGCTACGATGCAGGGAGCTGTCCAGCCCTAGTGGTCCTGAAGTAGTTGAGACTGTGGAGGTGCAGCACAATGGAGCTGTCCACATTCTCCCTGCACAACACAGTGCTGAAATCAAACCGAAGATGTGTCGTCATGGAAAAACTATTTGTTACATTTTAACACTACAGTTGATATCTCATAGCAGTTGACTACAGAGTGATGAGAAAACACGCTGCCCTGGCATGTGCATTAAAAATGCTCAAACAGAGAAACATGTATAAACAAAATCCACCTTCAAAAGGAAAAGTGGTTAAGAGAGCTACTGACTAATCCACTTTGGAATGGTTTAGTTGATGGTTGAAGTGTCCCCTCCACTTTAGTTTCTACGACAGCATCTGTATTTCACTCTTAAAAAGGTTCACTGTGAGGTTTTTGACCTTTAGCAGTGCTGTGGAGATGTTTTGTTTTTACGTGACTGGGTCCAGGTGTTGTTCATCACATGTACAAGCACACAGATGCATATGGATTCATTAAATCATTTCACACTGTTCCACAACTGCAGGTCCTACAGGTGGTGGCAGAGACAACTTCTGTAACATGGATGTAACCGATGCTGGGTTTTAAATTATCTTTTGTTTTTGCAAATGTTCAGCGAGGGAAATGTGTTTATTTACTAGAGTTGAATGATACATACAATTTATTTTGGGAAATAACCTAAACATATTTTTATCCTTTTCCATAAAAACTCGACATGGTACATTTGAATTATGTAAAGAGCTTATAGCCTGTGGGGAAAAAAATTACAATAATGTGCAAGTTTTCAGACTTAATTTCCTAGAATCTGACAATCAGCCACCAAACCTGCCACACATTATTAGCAAAGTAATTAGATGAAATTAAAATTCAATAAAGAAAATCAAATAACTACAAATACACATACACAGACAACCATTTGTTCCAGTTCAGGTGTCTGTCTGCCTGCTCATGTGCCTCTCGCAGACAGAGTAATGATTTCTATAATAAAGTGCTGTTTAAAACATTGTCTTTGTCAGGTTCATCGACAGCTAGAAATTATTTGATGTCTGTAGTATTAACATATACACTAGGTCATCAGTGTTTTGGAAGAGGCCTGTCACTGAAACCACTATTGAAAGGTTTCCTTGATTAATCTCTCAGTATGTAAGACAGTGAACTCTTTGATTTTGTCTAATATGTATTGAGACAGTTATATGACAGTTTGTAAAATTAAGTAATTTAAATGCAACCTCATGCATAACTCAGACATTAGAGAAACAAAGGCAGCGAGGTCCCAGAGCAGAGTGGTCAAGATTGGAAAACATTTAATAATTTCTGAATTTCTCACAGTTAAGACAAAATTGTCCAAAATATGTGATTTTTTCATTTTAGATGTCTACTTATGTATATATTAACACATTCATGTATCGCAATGTGTAATTGACTTAAATGAGTTTAAAAAGCTACATTCTTTACACCTGTGTTGTTCTTCATTTAAAAACCACTGTAGTGGTTGTGGTGGACCAATGTGTCCGCTTTGTGTAAAAGTATTTTCTTGTATGTTTTTATTTATTTAACTTCAGTGAAAATTGACTTTTAGCTTTGTTTACACTATGTACTGCTTTATATTGTGGCATTGAGAAGCTTTTTCCTCATTCAGGTCTCCACGCTGCTACACACTGAAGAATGCTTCTATAATATATTAAACTTAAGTGTCACTAGCGTTGTGTAGGAAAACCAACAGTGACAATATGTAAGAGACATGTAAGTATAATAATGTGCCGTATCAGTGCTATTTTTTCATTATCGAAGCTATCAGACACTTTACTCATACTTGTGCTCTCTGAATAGACAGAAAGCAGTGAAACAAGACCTTATTCGCACTATGGGCACACAAGTGCCTTACATGATGTACTCTTCTCGTTTTAACACCAAAGAGGAGTGCGTTTTTTCTCCTCTAATGGTATGGTCCCTTACCTCTTCCTAACACAAGTGTCCTCTCCAGTATACCAGGGCAAAGTCAACACCTGAGCCTCTGAGTTTCTGTCTGTCACTTTCTCTACCTCCAGAGTCTCCATCTGGAAACCTGAAGTCTAATTCTCCTTTCTCCCTCATTCTGTCTGACTTTGTCTCACGTTGTACAGCATGTGGTGTCTGTCACACACACACACACACACCTACACACACACCTATACACACACACCACACACAGACTTACACACCTACACTACAGACCTCACAGAGACAAAAATTTGCAGACAACAATATAATCCGACAAATTAAGACAAATGTCCACAGGGAATTTTTGATGTGATTTGATTTGGGTTTCTTCTAAAAGTAATGGAGTATTGATCTCTGAGGCAAAATCTAGATAATTCTGACACCTCAGGGAAAAAATTCAGCTATTCTTTTGTGATTTGACGGTGTAGCCTTTTCACTAATTCATGTTTCATTTGATAACGTCCTGTTTATCCACTGTGTTTCCATTTCAATTTCCTAAACCCGAGGGAATCAGTCAGTAGGATACAATATGAAAGGTCTACACTGTGTGAATGGCAGCCAGATTTATTAGAAGTGCTGGTTAAATTTGGACCAGGGATGGATCTAGGTTTTTTTCTAAACCAGCAGCCATAATTGACACATCCATGCACAATTCCTGATTCAGTAAGGTGCATATTTAAGTCATCTCTTCTTTCCTGTTAGCTCTTTAGCTTTAAGCAAAGCCACAGACCATTGAATGTATTGTTAAAATTGTTCCTTGATCAAGAACATTATGTCAAAAAGCTTAGAAAATCAAAATTCTTAACAAATTGTCATATTTATTGTTAGTATTAGTAAATTACTTTAAATTCTTATACTAAAGACTACTGACAGGACAGGGGCACACGAGGGCCAATCACATTTCATCTAAAACAAGTCCCCCTCTGGAACAGCCTCTTCTCCACTGGTCTACAAACCGACTGATCTGGTTCTGATCACCAGTGATGGAAATGAGACACCCAGGAAAATGTGCCTAGTTGGTAGACAGCAAGGAAAGACAATGCTAGTTTAGTCGGTGGGTTTTTGAAGTTCAACATGACGCACCAGGAGCCAAACTCCTGTACCGACAATGGGAAGGTCATGAACTGCCTTTTTTAGTAAGTTGGGTCCGCATTTAAAAGACACCACAAAAAATACCTGCTAATTTTGGTGTAAAAGAAGTTATATATTTAAGTGGTTACTTTGGTTTGGTTTCTTAGTCATAGACATCTTTCATTGGCATAAATAGGCATCAACATCTCCCGTCTTTCAATTAGTTTTTCATCTACCGCCGTGCTCACCTCTGTTTCCAGGAAGCGACGGAGCGCTCTCTTCTTCTTGATGTTCTTCCGGCGCAGAGACACAGCTACACTCAGCACCAGGATCACCACCATGAAGAGGCCGCCGATCACCCCCGCTGCGATCAGAGGGGTTCTGAAGACAAGAAAGAGGAGGGGGGAGAGGAGGAGGAAGAAAACAAGTAAATGATGAAAACGGAAGAGGGTGCAGGCGATGACACATTTTCACTGGGAGGACAGAGATGATGACAGAGGATGAAGAAAACATCATCCTTAAACTATCATATGCGTGCACACGCACACACACACACACACACACACACACAAACAAACAAACAGGGGAATAAACCAACAAACAAAACACATGTCTCTGAGATCTTCCACATCCATAAGGCTATTTGGATGTTTCTTAAAATAAAATAAAAAACCTTCACCTTCAATTTTTGTCTGTTTTTTCTCTGAGCTTCATCTGGTTATATCCCTCCATACCCTCTCATTAAAACCACGGCTGAGATCAAAAACATGGAAATAACCATCAAAGTGAATTCTCAGCACCACACCGACGCTGTCATTTGATATCAACACTCGAAATAATTTTGAAATAAGCAGAAGGAGCCCCCCCCGCTTCTTTTCCTGCAATGGAAGAAGCCAATTTGGTCAACAAAGACTCAGACTCTGCCCTAAATCAGTGGGAAAAAGACTGTTATTTGGGACTTTTTATCACAGACTGCAAGGATACACCCCATAAACTGTTATCACCGTCAGCCAGCTTCATGGGAAGTGAGGAACTCTGAATCTCCCCCACATCTCTCGCTTTGGTGGCACATTGGAGACTTAGAACATACTGAACTGTTAAAGTGCAGGTGAGAGCTGAGAGCCATACAGAACAATAGAGACCAATCAGCCCAGCAGGTATATTATCTAATATTATCTTACTGCAGATTTGCTGGTCTCAATAATTAACAAGAGACATTTGAAGATTTTTATTTTAGAAAACACATTTATTTCAACTGCTCATCCACAGTTCTTTGACATATACGTATTTGCTTTGTCACGGGGAGTACAGCAGCCTCACATTTTAGACACTTGTCTAAAACAAAAAATGTAATGTTTGTATTTATGTGCAACTTAAAAAAGACCACGGATGGCAAATGCTTAAGGACATACAGTGGCTACACACATACAGGACATCAGCAATAAAATAAATAAAAGGCCTCGGAGGATTTGACACATGATCAAATGTAATGTCAGCATCATATCCACTGTAGATGATCTAATTCAATCCACATGCTTCACTTCGTTGGTCTTTCCAACTGGAAAAAAATAAGTCCCCTGACTGATCACATGAACCTCTGCTCTTCTGTAAACATGCCCAAGATGTACAGTTCTAAAGATCAACCATCAAGCCACATGGTGAGTCATGCATCAAATGCAATGTTTCTCCACCATTGCAACAACATCAGGATTTAAAAAAAAAAATCAGTTAATCATGTATGTGGGAATCAGGGAACACAGAGACAGCAGCTCTAATGAATTTGAACTAAAAGACAGATAATTGGAACATGTTAGACAAAGTATTGTCAGTTTTATCAGAGTAAGCACGACAAGAGTAAGTGACAGAAAGTGGGTAATCCAGTTTAATCAGATATGTTCACAATCCCTACGGAAAAAAATACATGAGAACGCCTGGTGGAGCGATGGCCTTTGAAGGATTAGTGTAATCATTTGTGTCTGATAAGCCACTTTTCATTTGTGTTCACGAGTCAATAGATCCAGTAGGTGACGGGTTTATGAAATGTGTGACACCTCTGAGGTGGCAGATATAAGCCTGAGCTGCACCCCCGCCACAGGAAGTCAGAGATCTGATGAGGCTTAATCTGTTCCTCAGGTCAACTGATAAGAACATATTCCTCATCTGAGCATACTGATACTGAATATTGATCAGTAAATAACTGTAGGGCTCCTTATTGCTTAGAAGCCTGAGCAGATCTAGGATTTTTCTAAATCAGGGGTCAGAATAGAGGCCACAATTTACACAGAGGGGCCAATGTCCAACATCCATGCATGATTTCTGATTGAGTAAGGTGCACATTTAAGAAATTTCTTGTTTTCTGTTAGCCCTGTAGCTTCGAGCAAAGATCATTGAATATATTTTGAACATTGTTTCTTATGCTTATCGAATAAACATTCTTAACAAATTGTCATATTTATTTTTAGATTTGTAAGTAAGTGATTATCTTTTAAATACCACTGACAGGACAAGGGCACTTCAGGGGCCAATCAGATCTCAGCCTGGGGCAGGGCCAGGGATCTGCACCTGAGTAGCCGCCATAGCCTCCTGCACGATGTTTTACCTTTTCTCTAGTATGATGTACGTTGTTTAATCAGATTCAAAATCCATGCACATTAAAACCTAGTGCATGCATATATGTGTGCACACGGCCGTATCTGTGAGTAGGAAACCATCCTTGTGAAATTAAATTTCCGCACTGCATGCACAAATGTGGTCCCGTGAGCACGAGACTGTGACGAGTGCAACCTTGACCCTCCCTACGCGCTCTCAACAGCTCAGCACTTGCCCATGCAGATGTAATTTCATTCTTCCGAGTGAAAAATAACAGATCTGATTTATAAGATGATGTCTATACTCAGTTTGTATTTTAGATATCTACAATGTCACTCTTAATAGGACAAATGACATCACTTCTGCCTTTCATGTTTTCAATTTCTGATATCCACAAAAATAACCATTCTGGATTTTGCAATAAAACTATTTCTTTGTAATATTGTCATTGCAAATATATACAATCATGGTGTAATAATTTAAATATGAGATATCAGAAGAGAAGTTGCAAGCATGTACAGAGGGTTGAGCTTGAGAGCCCAATTGTCAAGGGATTGCATTTGTGCACGTGCTTTCCTGCCGGGTATACTGTTCTGTGAGCTTATATCAATTGCACATATATTTTTTTTTTATATGCCCACAGATGAAAGTCACACAGTCTTTCACCAGCGCACCATCCTTCTTTTCTGCTTAGCGCTGTTCTTTTTTGGGTTCAGTGTTCTGCTGCAGTCCCCCAGACACACCAGCAGGTTTTGTCGTGTCGACTGCTCACTCTGCTTATCAGCCTTTTTCATCTTTCCTTTTTTTTTTTTTTTATCGTCCCTCAAAGACCACACAACAACTCTCAGCGCCACCTGATGCCAGTCTCTCTCTCCTATGGAACCTTGAATCTATTTGCTGTAAACTGTTAGCTGCGTTTTCTTCCCTTTTCTCTTCCCCACAGCTGCAGAACAAAAGCTTAAGCGCTATCAATTTATCAAGCACCAGGCAAATTGTTTGTGCGTACACACACTGTCACACTCAAACACACACACAAGCATGCATGCACAGAGAAGCTTTAAGGACACTCCCAGGGATTTTGGGCCTTACAGCTAGCCATTAATCACAAACTGATTCTGTGTGTGTGTGTGTTTAACAGAGAATTTTGTACCTGTCCATCCAGCCAACACAGTCTTGCAGTCTTGGTCCAATGCACCTAGGTCAACAACACAGATCATGCACATGAGTTAAACCTTTTCACTTTGACACTTTCACTATGTGAAAATGATGAGAGGCTGTCAGGGGACTTATGATAAAATACATCTGTGAATATCTCTATGCATCATCTTTTAAATGCTTGTGTGTTATTTGTATTATACCAAACTAAACCATGTTGTTGAGCTTCGAAACCTTTCGGCCTCAGCATGGTCAGAAGTTAGATTATAATAGTTGCTGTTTTGTGTTTGGAGTTCCCACCCTGTCCTGGCACTGAGATAAAGTGAACCTTGGGAGAGTCTCCACTCTCCAGAAGATAATGAAAAAGCCTTACATCTCTTATAGTGACCTGTTTGTTATCTTCTAGCTCCCATATGGTGTACCACTAAAATGATTCTATTATACTTTAATATAGAGCCACTTTAGCCATTCGCAGGTACAGCACCAACCAAAATCTTCATCAAACCCGTGTGTTTTTCTGATGCCTGTAGGCAAACCTGAAATATAAAGCAAGCCCTGAACTAAAGCCTTGTTAGCTTCTTTTTTCAGCTCCAACTTTAGTCTCAAAACAGCTTCAGAGTGACGGATTAATCTTCTAATGAAAAGCAAAAATGTCTTCAGTCCTCCGGTGCTGATGGTTAAAATCTGTGCTGTGCTGTAACGCTCTGCTGCTATAATACGCCATGACTGACAGACTTAGTGGCTCTTTTGGATGTTTAGAAGTCAAGACTATCAGGTTTTTTTCATGACTCTGTCTGTTTCCCTCTCTGTCGATGTCGCTCCCCTCTTCGCTCTCCCTCCCTCAGCTTGTGTTTTTGAGAGGCGGGCCTGCTTATGAAGCTTTACCTGAGACAGAGTGTCGGCCCAGTGTTTTTCATTTACAAGTACATTGTTATGCTCAAGCGCGCTGCAGGCTGTCACTCAGAGGAGGAGAAATAACACACAAGGAAGTGACATAAACTCCCCCTGGAGTTAAATACAAAATGATGCCTCACTAACCCTTGTTGAATATTACATTGAGAGATCAGTGGCTAGTGAGGAATGGAGAGTGGCAAGGTACTTCACTGACTCCTCTCACATTCAGTCGCCTTCTCTCCTTTTCTTTTATTTATCTGTCTTATCCTGCAAGATGTTGGATCATCATTTTATGTTTGCAGGACACGGAAAGAGAGTTTTCCTGAGCATGTGCTATCCAGGCAATACTATATGACAACCAAATGCACTTAGAGGGAGCGAGTTAGAACATTTCAGTCACTGCCACGGGGAAATTTATTCAAGCGTGTTTGTGAAATAGGTGGTGCAGGAATCTCAGGTGTTATGGTGACAGCTTGCAGGGCTACTAGGGTGAGATACTGTGGCTCGTGAGCTCACCAGTAACACAGTAGAACTACATACCCACAGTAGCTAACCAAGCAAGAGCTGCATTTATATATAATAGACAGTACTTGTACCGATATGGTTCTGTTTTTCGACTGACAGAAAACCATACCTGTTTTACTCGCAGCTCAGATTCCAGCAGTGTTTTATTAAATTGGATGATACAACACAGTTAAAACATTTGGACCCTCTAGCTCTTGGCTTCATTTATCAGCGTAAAGGTAGTTTGCAGTCGCTGAGTGGATTAAATTTGCCTGTCTGCAAGCAAATCCTCAAAAAAGACTGAATCTGTGTGATTTAAAAGCTGGTATGACGTTTATAATGAGTAAAAGTTAGGAGAAAGGCTCAAAGCATCATTTGAGTTGTCATGAACCTAGTTGGTGAAAGTTTATGTGTTCCTCTATTCATTTTTTGGGTGAAAATCAAGTATCATTTTTGCAAAATGAGGAGATGCTCGGTATTATTGTCAGATTTAGCTTTATTTTTTGTATCAGCCAATATTCTAATTGATTTTATTCAATTGTGCCTTCTCTTTTTACGCAGACATTTCAAATCTGTCCCTTGTTTCTTGGGTTTATTTACTAAAATGACTGAATATCATTTTCATTTGTCTTTGACAGATTGACAGATTAACCAACTTTTGATTTGGAAAGGATTACCAATCACTGAACCCCTGACCTCTCGTCATCCTGGCTGCACTTACCCCTGTGTGCAGTTGCTGTGGCAGGGATGACATTTGTTGTTGGCTTCGGCGTACTTGAAGATGAAGCTGTTGGCACCTTGCAGACCATCGGGACACTTCTCCACACAGTTTGGACCATCCTTGAAATGAAGGCATTTCACACAATGCTCTGGGCCCTACAGACAGTGGAGGAAAAACAAGCTCTTAGATGCATATGCCCAATAATTCTAAATAAAATGTATACATGAGGCTTATAGTAAGTATTCAACATTGACAAGGTTAAGCAACTAACTAAGTAATTGGTTGTTTCGGTCATATAACAGTTTTCACTCTGCAGTTTTGCAATTTTTCAGAATAATGTTTAGAAAAGATATCTGGCTTGGAGTGAACGTAGAGAAAGAAAACAACATGTTTGAGTATTAATGGTCTTGATGACCGCTCAAAGTGCTTCACAGTACAGTTTTGCTATCCACCCATTCACATTGAAACCTGACACAACAAATTCAGTCAGAAAGGACAAACCAATAGTGTTAGAAATGAGGATTAGATATCTGCCGTCGCCTCCGTTTTAAAGTAAAGTGATTGATGGGTGTATTTCTACATGATCGACGTGCCGAGAGCAGCTTTCTTTACAGATTAAATGAATGCACTTGAATCTGTGCAGCAGTGAATGTGTAGGAGAGATAGCATTATAGGCAACAGACAGTAGATGAAATTGGTGAGGAGGGAGACAAGAAAAGAGAAAAAATAAGTACTGTCGAGTAAAAAGGGAGAGTTAGGCAGAGAGAGTGGACACGGATGCGGCCAGTCAGTGAGAGCGAGCGAGATATAGTGTGAATAACAGAGAAAGAGGAGAGGGAGGGAGAGAGAGAGCAGACGAGACACATAAAGCAGTGTGAGCGGAGCAGGCACATAATAACCATCGCTCACAGCACACACAATGACCATAACAATCCGCCTAGAACAGGATTTATGGAGCTAATATAGGCAAGGGAGGAAGTAGGGGAGGAGAAGACGAGCGGCGAGGAGCTCTCTGAGTCAGGCTCCGTATCATCTCCAGGCCTAGAGAACATCTCATTGACAAACACCAAAAACACACACGTACTGCACGAAAACAGGATGAGTGGAAATCAAACGGATTTCTCTCACATGGATGTCTAGAGTGCACACAAATGCAAACAGAAACAAATACTGTGGATTAACACTAATTGTATACGAGACATATACAGGCAACACGGAAACACGGAAACACACACACACACACACACAC